GGCTAGCCTCGAACTCAGAAATCCACCTGCCTCTGCCTCCCAAGTACTGGGATTAAAGGTGTGCACCACCACCGCCTGGCTGATAGCTTTCATAATTTAAAAAACAATAAGTTTTTTGAGACAGGTGTTTACTGTGTAACCCAAACAGACTTGGACCTTTTCAGTTTCCCTGCTCCAACTTTTCAAGTGCTGGGATTACAGGAAAGTGCCACATACCCAGATGAACATGAAGTTGTTTGCTTGTTTTGGCTTTTCAAGACAGGACTTCTCTGTAGCCCTGGCTGTCCTGGAACTCTGTGTGGACCAGGCTGGCCTCCAACTCAGAGATTAGCCTGCCACTGCCTCCCAAATGCTGGGATTAAGATATGCACCACCATGCCCAGTATACAACTAAATTATAATTTTTTTTAAGTTTTACTTACTCTGTGTGTGCGCGCGCGTGTGTGTGTGTGTGTGTGTGTGTGTGTGTAGGTCAGAGGAAAACTTTGTGAATAAATCTTTCCTTTCCACTTTTATGCAGGGCCTGGGATTGAACTCACATCAAGTTTGCATCATGTTGGGCAGCAAGTGCCTTTACATACTGAGCCATCTTGCCAGCCTCTCAACTGTTTTTTAAAATATTTCAGATTTATTTTATGTGTCTGAGTGTTTTGCTCAAATACATACTTATGTACCACCTGAGCGCCTGATGCACACGGAGGTCAGAAGAGGGGTTTGTACCCCCTGGAACTGACATTATGGATGATTGTGAGCCGCCATGTGTGTGCCACGAATCAAATCCTGGTCCTCTGCAAGAACAAGTTCACTTAAACCACTGAGCCATCTCTCCAGCTTCTCCACCAACCCCTCAGACTGCTTCTTACCCAGTGTCTTTCTATCCTGTACCCACCTCTCCTTGAAAAGCTCTTATTTAGTTCAGGATGGTCTTGAATATGCTATGTAGCTGAAAACAATCTTGAATTTATAATCCTTCTACCTACATTATCTGACTGCTACAGGAGTGAGCCACCATACCTGATTTATATAATGCTGGAAATTGGACCCAGGATTTTGTACATGCTAGACAGGCATTCTATCAACTGAACTACATCCCTGACTGTTCTGTTTTTTGTTTTTGAGACAGTTGGTTGTAGCCCAGGCTGTGCTTGAACTCCTTGTTCTCTTGCTTTCACCTCCCAAATGCTAGTAGTCTGGTCAGATGGGAAGGAAACGTGGTAAATAATGGTGGAATGGCCAAGCAGTTAAGAGGCAGACAGCAGTCAAACAGTTCGAAACCGGCGTGTGAGAAGTAGAGTAGTGGGAGCATGGCTGGGGCCAGACTTTTCATTTAGAAATGGGCTAAGGAATAAGCTTTGCAAACACTGGCCTTGATTCTAACTGATTTGGGTTGGGACTGGGGACTGGCGTGAGGAATGGGATATATTGTCGTGTGAGGTTTTGAGTGAGAGAGGCAGGAGCCGTGAAGATCTGTTAGCAGCTGTACTTGGAAGGGAGAAGGACAGGGTCACTAAGGTTGTTGAGTCATCGCTATAAAATGCAGGGATAGTTTCTTAACTGAGTCCTACATAAGGTGCTTGCCAAATGTTCATTTAATGAACATGTATAATGGGGTATCCTCAGAACAGAAAGACAGTATGGCTGGAATTCTCGGGGCGGGGGGAAGAGGCCTGGTTATACATGTAGTCTATGGTTTTTCTCCTGTGAGCATCCGCTTTGTCATTGGGGGGTGAATACCAGGGATTAAACTCAGGGCTTTGTGCATGCAAAACAAGCAGTCTCAACATCTACACCTCTACTTACTATAACATACTTGGATTGTAGGGTGAGCTGGGTCATGGCAATACCCTCTCTGAATCGTCCCTGTCTCTTAATGAGCACAGTAATACTTGAATGAATATACTGACCCCATCCCTTGAGTTATGTTAGGTGTCTATTGTATTAATTTTTGATGATCCCCACCTTCAATAGCAGAGGCCAGTGGCTTGCTGTTTCAGAGTGACCTGTGTCTGTTACATAAAGGTCGTGGCATTGTTTTAGAAGCCCCAAGTGTTGTTAGTTTATAACTTGTCAATTCCTTACTGGACCCTTAACATGTAAGGCCTTACTTGTGTATGACTGATCATCTGCATTGGGAGAAACGGGGTGGGAGGTGGGGGAGAATGACTAAGCCGAGAGACTGAGGCTCGCATCTGTAATACCAGCATTATGAGAGTCAAGGGAGAGAGGCCAAGGCCAAAATGAGACCTTGTCTTGAACGAGGAAGAGGTCAGGCTTGGTGTGGTGGCATACACCTTTAATCCTAGCACTTAAGAAACTGAGACTGGTGGATGTCTGAGTCAAAGCCAGCCTGGTCCACATACCCAGTTGATTCCAGTTAAAGGGAGCTGGAAGTGGCTTGTGAACAGAAACTGCTCTTGCAGAGGACTTAAGTTCAATTCCCAACACCCACGTCAGGCAGCTCAGAACTGCCTGCAACTCCAGATCCAGGGAGGTCCAACACCTCTGGCTTTTGTGCACCTGCATTCTCATGCTCATAGCATAAAAATAAAATCTTAAACACACACACACACACACACACACACAAAACCTCGCCAGGCGGTGGTGGTGCACGCCTTTAATCCCAGCACTTAGGAGGCAGAGGCAGGTGGATTTCTGAGTTTGAGGCCAGCCTGGTCTACAGAGTGAGTTCCAGGACAGTCAGGACTACACAGAGAAACCCTGTCTTGAAAAAACCAAAAAACCAAACCAAAACAAACAAACAAAAAAAAAACCCTCAAAATATTATAGAAGTAATTTTAACTTGCATTAGACCTACTATGAGCCTGACAAACCCAGATCGGTCTGTTCAAGAAACCACATTTTACTGTAAAGTGTTTTTTTAAAATATATTTATAAATTTAGCATTGAATGGTAGGTAACTTTGGTAACTGATACACAGAGCTGTAACCTTTGGCTCTGTAAACCGGTAGTTCCTGGGAACCAGTTAGCAATGCACATCTCAACACTCCACACAGTCTCTCTCAGTAGGCCCCTAAGATAGACTAGGTATACAATGACATCTGAGTTAGTGCCCTTCAAAGAACTTTTGTCTTTTCTTTTTGTTATTCTAGAAAATGTCTTTTTTTTGGGTGGGGGGTGTTTCGAGACAGGGTTTCTCTGTGTAGCCCTGGCTGTCCTGGAACTCACTCTGTAGACCAGGCTGGCCTCAAACTCAGAAATCCACCTGCCTCTGCCTCCCAAGTGCTGGGATTAAAGGCGTGTGCCACCACCGCCCGGCTTAGACATCACATTTTCTTTCTTTTAATTTTTTTATTATTGATTTATTTTATGTATATGAGTACACTGTTGCTCTCTTCAGACACACCAGAAGAAGGCATTGGACCCCATTACAGATGGTTGTGAGCCACCATGTGGTTACTGGGAATTGAACTCAGAACCTCTGGAAGAGCGGCCAGCTGAGCCATCTCTCCAGCCCTTAGAAAATGTCTTACTATGTAGCTCCAGCTGCCCTGATACTCATTATATGGCCTGGGCTAGCCTCGAACTTAGGATAATCTCAGCTTCCTGAATGCTTGGATTACAGGTCCATACCATCATGCCTAGCTTTAGAGGCAGCTTCTAAAATATTCTAGCTGTCAAAAAGTCAGTACTTAGAGTGCTGGAGAAATGATGATGGCTCATGGGTTAAGACGTCTTGCTACTCCTCCAGTGAACCCAAGCTCAACTCTCAGCATCCATGTCACGTGACTCACAATTACCTGTAACTCTGGCTTCAAGACATCCGACACTCTTGGCCTCCTCAAGCAACCCGAATGCCATGACATATACACACACAAAGAAACATACTAAAAAATAATAATAATAATACCATACTTCACCTATTGTGGCGGCTTACGATTTGTAACTCACTTCTAAGGAGGCCAAGGCAAGAGGCCTGTCTTGAGTTCAAGGCCAGTCCAGGCTATATACAAGTTCATCAGGCATATGGAGATTTCATCTCAAAAAGAAAATAAAATTCCTCTCCCTTTCTGAGTAAAGCTCATTGTAATGTTTTCCACCTTCTAGTACATTTTCAGATTTATCTGGTTGTATTGCGTGTTAACTGCTATCATCATTGTTATATTCTGGAGCAGGATCTCAATCTCACAATGACTATACTCATATAGTGTGGTGGTTTGAATATCCTTGGCCCACTATTAGGAGGTGTGTCCTTATTGGAGGAGAAGATATTGCCTTGTTAGAGGACTTGTGTCACTGTGGAGGTGGCTTTGAGGTCTCCTAATGCTCAACCTCTGCCCGGTGCAGAGAGAGTGCCCTTCTGCCTGCCTTGGATCAAGATATAAAACTCTCAGCTCCTTCTCCAGGTCTGCCTGCATGATGTTCTGCAGGGGGTACACGGATGCTAAGGGCCTCAAAGATGAGTGAGTGCAAGAGGAGACAACACCCTGAAGTACCTCCCTCGGGTTCTGCCCGAAGCCATGCAATTGCTCTACCACTGAGGTACGCCCCAGTGGGCTTGCATCATTTCCCTTAGCGCTTCCTACTTGTTCTGGAAAAAAACAAAAACAAAACAAAACAAAACAAAAAAGGAGTTTGGAAACCTTACGTTCTCTTCTAGATTCCCCTCTTAGAGACCCTAGAAAAGGGAATCTGAACACCCTTGGGATGAGGGCGTTCCGTCTCAGCACGGAATCGGTTCAGGGATTTCCTGAGCGTTTTCCTCACGGGCGTCTTCCTTGAATTCACCCGCCGGTTGGCTTGCCTGAGGCCAGCCTCCTGTCGCCTGTCGCCTGTCGCCTGCCGCCCGGTGGCTCCGGTGGCAGGGTCGACGCCGCAGGTTAGCAGCCGCGCAGTGCGGTCCTTCTGGCTCCAGGGGGCGCTGTGCGCGCCCGGCCGCGGCCTCCGCCGCAGCTCTGTCTAGGGGCGGCCGGCAGGGCACGTGGCTTGGGATCGAGCGGAGTTTGCGGCCGCTAGACAGCAGCTCCGAAGTTGGGCGGCTCCGGCTCCTCACCGACGCGCAGCCCGCGCTCGCTCCGGCCTGTTGACTGAAAATCAGCCTGCGCCTGGCCAGATCTGTCGGCGGAGGACCGCAGCTCAGCGACGACGCGGTAGCCATGGCTGAAGCGGCGCCCGCCCGGGTAAGCGCCCCGTCCCACGGCCGCCGCGGGCGAGGGTCTCGGCCCACCGGGCCCCGAGCGCCCCCGACCCTGGGCTCAAGGAGCCACCGGCCTGGAGGCCACGTAGGCCACCAAAGCCATCAGCCTACACCTGGCGGCGGGCGGCCTAAACTCCAGACCTGGTGGGTTGGGCCCTAAGACCGGTGACCGCGACATGGCCTCCGTCGCCCCGCTAGGCCGGGAGCTCGCCTTTCTCCGGAAGGCCTGGAAGGAACCGTGCAGCTAACACAGTCGAGAGTCCCCCTGCCCGTTGTTTCTTCTGAGACCTGCCGCCGAGCAGTCAGACAGGAGCCAGTGTCGCCTACCTGCCACATCCGCAAGGTTGAGGCTGCGAAGGGGCCTCAGGCCAACACCTTAGGATGAGCCCACCATTAAAATACCTAGCGACTGTACTTTTTCGTAGGAAACAATACTGAACCCAGTTTGCAACAGGTTTCTAACTTTTGTGACTGGTTTTTTTTTTTTCCACCGAAGATCTAGCGGTTCTCAACCTGTGGGTCTCATAACCCCTCCCGATCGCGTATCAGATATTTACATTACGATTCATAACAGTGGCAAAATTAGTTGTGAAGTACCAACAAAATAATTCTGTGGTTAGGATTGTCCTGGCTGGTTTTGTGCGTCGACTTGACGCAAGCTATAGTGGTCTGAGAGAAAGGAGCCTCAGTTGAGGAAATGCCACCATTCAGATGTAAGGTAGATGTTAGTAGTGATCAGTGGGGAGGGAGGGGGCAGCCGATTGTGGGTGGTGCCATCCCTGGACTTGTAGTCCCAGGTTCTATAAGAAAGCTGATTGAGCAAGCCATGGGAACCAAGCCAGTAATAGGACCCCTCTATGGCCTCCGCATCAGCTCCTGCCTCTAGAATCCCGCCCTATTTGAGTTCCTGTCCTGACTTCCTACAGTGATAAATAGAAATGTGGAAGTGTAAGCCAAATAAACCGTTTCTTTCCTAATTTGCTTTTCGGTCGTAGTGTTTTGTTGCAAGCAATAGAAACCCTAACGAGGACAGGGATCACCACAACCTGAGGGTCACAGCTATGGAAGGTCTCGAACCACTGAAAGTTTAGCAGTTTTTTTTTAGAAGGGTAGCTTGGATCCTGGTGGTCATGGTGGTGGAGGAGGAGGTGGAAGATGAGGCAATGGTGCATGCCTTTAAACCCCCCACTTAGGAGGCAGAGGAAGTACGATCTAGACCAGCCTGTTTATAGAGTGAGTTCCAGGACAACAAGGCTACACAGAGAAACCCTGTCTCAATAAAGAGGAGGGGGTTGGAGGGAGGGGGAGTAGCTTCGTAATGTTCAGTGTGCCAATTAAGAGAACATGCTATGCCAGGCGGTGGTGGCGCACGCCTTTAATCCCAGCACTCGGGAGGCAGAGGTAGGCGGATTTCTGAGTTCGAGGCCAGCTTGGTCTACAGAATGAGTTCCAGGACAGCCACGGCTACACAGAGAAACCCTGTCTCTAAAAACCAAAAAAAGAACATGCTAGGAGAATTTTCACCTGTTAAAAAAAGTCTCTCAGTAAGTGGTATCTATTATTACCAATACATCTCAGACAAGTTTCTGAAACTGTAGTCTCCTGGAAGCTTTTCTCTTTCTTTTTAGTGTGCTGTGTGTCCTTCTGGGTTCCCTGACTGCAAGGAATAGAAATTGAGCTGGAAATTCTCTAGGTTATGGGAGTAGGACTGGAAACTCTTTCGGTCTCTGTCAACCTGCTTCTAACCCTCAGCTGTCTTGCAGTACCTAATATCTCAACAAACTTGCTGACAGGATAGATAGCTCAACACTATGATAATAACTACAGCTGATACCACAGATGCTCAAGTCCCTTACGTAAAATTGTGTAGTGTTTGCATATAACCTACTCATATGTTTTAAAATATGTTGAATCGGTTTCTAGATTGCCAGTACAATGGAAAGGCTAAGAGTTGCATCGTGGAGGAAATGATGGCAAGAAAAATGTGGACATGTTCAGAATAGACGGTGGTTTTTGTTTTGTTTTTTGGTTTTTTTTGAGACAGGGTTTCTCTGTGTAGCCCTGGCTGTCCTGGAACTCACTCTGTAGACCAGGCTGACCTCGAACTCAGAAATCCACCTGCCTCTGCCTCCCAAGTGCTGGGATTAAAGGCGTGCACCACCACCGCCCGGCTAGATAGTGTTTTCTTTCCAATTTTTTTGTTTGTTTTTTGTTTTTCGGGACATAGTTTCTATGTAGCCCTGGCTGTCCTGGAACTCACTCTATATGTAGACCAGGCTGTCCTTAAACTCACAGAGATCTGCCTACCTCTGCCTCTGGAGTGTTGCCATTAAAGACATGCCTCTCCCCATCAACACTGGCTCCAAATATTTTTATCCCACGTCAGGTGACTTTTTGATTATAGACCTGCAGGTACATGGGACAAAATGCGATTTAGACATACAACAACAACAACAAAAATGCCACAAACCAGTGTCACACTATGCAGCCCTGGCTGGTTTGGAACTTGCCATTTAAATGAGATCAGGTTGGCCTTGAGCTCACAGAGATCTACCTGCCTTTAGCTCCTGAATGCTGAGATATTAAAGACATGCTACTCTGTCTGGCTGGTCTCAACTTTTCAGTCTAGGCTAGCCTAGAACTCACTGTTTAGTTCAAGCTGCCCTTGAATTTGAGGCAACCTCCCTGCCTCAGTCTGTGAATGTTGAGAGTATAGGTATGTGTACTACCATGCCTGGTTTATGATGTGGATATTTTGATTATATGACTTTCTTGTCTCTTCAGCAGCTTTCTGAGAGGGCCAGTCAGATGTGTATTAAGAGATAGTCCTACCCCTTCTTTTTCACTCCAGCTAAATACAGAGAAGAGTTCATACCTCCACTCCACGGAAATCACACTGTGGACCGTGGTGGCTGCCGTTCAGGCCTTGGAGAAGAAAGTGGATTCCTGCCTGGCCCGCTTGCTGACTCTGGAGGGACGCTTAGGCACAGCAGAAAAGAAGCTGGCTGACTGTGAGAAGACAGCTGTGGAGTTCAGCAGCCAGCTGGAGGGCAAGTGGGCCGTGCTGGGCACCCTGCTGCAGGAGTACGGGCTGCTGCAGCGGCGGCTGGAGAACGTGGAGAACCTCATGCGCAACCGGAACTTCTGGGTCCTGCGGCTGCCCCCTGGCAGCAAGGGCGAGGTCCCCAAGGTAGCTTTTGGATCCCCTGATGTAGGGAGCCTACGGGCCTGTGGCTGTATGCATGTAGGTGAACAGGTGTGACACTGTGGTTTCAGGTGCCCCTGACCTTTGATGACGTGGCTGTGTATTTCTCTGAATTAGAGTGGGCCAGACTGGAGGACTGGCAGAAGGAGCTCTACAAGCATGTGATGAGAGGCAACTATGAGATGCTCGTTTCCCTGGGTAAGCCTTCAAAGGAATACCTGGGCTTTCAAACAACAGTGACTTCCCACAGTCTTTGCCTGTGCTTTGGGCAGCCAGACTCAGATCTTTCTCCATGTCTTTCCCCCTTCTGTATGCAGATTACGCCATCTCCAAACCAGACATCCTTACCCAGATGGAGAGGGGAGAAGAGCCTCGTCCTGCAGGCCCCTGGAGCCAGGAGAAGGGAAGCGAGGACGAGACAGCATGGCCAAGGAGACCAAACACCGGTAAGTTTTGGTACATCTTGAGGCTGCTGGAGCAAAGCAAACAACAAACTGCCTTCCTGGGTAGACTGGACCAGTTTGCAGCTGGGAAGGGAACACAGGCCCTTTACCCAGAACTGGCTGCACTTTGTTCAAGGATGCTCTGAGCAGGAGTAAAGAGAGCTGTAAGGATTCTGGCTCTGTATAAGAGGCACCAGCACAAAAGGGATGCTTGTGAGGTCAGAGGTAGCAAACAGAGGTCAAGGATATAATAGGCCTCTTCTGCATGGACTGATGGTCAGTCGTGGGAAAGCATCTGCTCTGTGCACCTGCCGTGGTATCCATGTCCACCGGCCGTCACCGTTGTTCAGCTGGCCACAGCAGGAGACTCCTGCTGTTCTGCTTCTCTCAGGGATAGGTCCCTGGGGGAGAAGGCTAAGGATGCTCCAAAGCCAGTGTTTGACAGTGGCTCCAAAGGCACTATTGTTGACTTCTCTGGGGGCTGGCAAGGCTCAGTGGGTAAGAACACTCACTGTTCTAGCAGAGGACTCCTGTTCAGTTCCCAGCACCCACGTGGCAACTTAGAGCTGTCTGCAACTCCAGTTTAGGGAATCTGGTGCCCTCTTTTGGCCTCTGTGGGCCGGAGTCATGCATGCAGTGTATATACATACATGCAAGCGAAACACTCATACACACTCTCACACATGTACATGTTTATTTACTTATGTTATTTTTGGTTATTTAATTTAGGGTCTCACTATTAGGTAGTGCTGGTTGTCCTGGAATTCACTATGTGAACTCATGGAGATCTGCCTGTTTCTTTATTCCCAAGTGCTAGAATTAGAGACCTGTGCCACTATGTTTGGCAATAAAATAAATATATCTTTTAAAAAACATAACACAAAGTAGAACAGAACAGTAACCACAAAATCATTATAATACCAGTTTTTGGCAAACCTAGGTTATAGAGTAAGATCTTGTATCAAAAAGAAAAGAAAGAAAAAAAAATCAGTAATAGAAATTTGCCACCCATTTCTCTTCCTAAACACAACCACAATATTATCACCTACCCACAGAAAATCATCTAGCACCCAGTCCTTATTCTGTTTTCAGTAGGGACTTGGATCTTAATTTTAATAACCCAAAGTCCACATACTGCATTTGATTTATGTCTTTTAAATCTATAAAAACTCCATCCAAGTCCACCCACATTTTCAGCAGCTTTACTGAGGTGTAATGTATGTACCATGGAATCCACCTATGAAAGTATAACCCTGACTCCTCAAGGTTGGAGGTGGGAAGCTTGTAATCTAAAAACCCCAAACAAATAGAAAAGAATCAAGAGTTGATGTTTAAGTGGGATATATAGAACAGGCTTGTAATCCAAGCTATTCTAGAGCACAGGAGACTCATGGGTCAGAGCCTGCTTGGTCTACAGAATGAGTTCAAGGCCAGCCTGGGCAACTTTATGAGAACTTATATCAAAATTTAAAAGTAAAATTAGGGCTGGTGAGATGGCTTAGCAGGGAACAATGACATGTGAGAGACACAAAAAAATAGGCTTTAGACAAGAATTGAGCTACAGGCAGTGGGCATGGCCACTGTATCTTTATATTCTGTCTTTGGTCTGATAGCCCAGAGTGCCAGAGACTCTTAGTGTGGCCCCGGAGTTTGGGAGACCGTGGTATTGTGCTCAATGACAATGGTTTGTGTTTCTAGGCATTTCTCTGAGTCCAAAGCAGGCCCCAAGTCCAGCTAGCCCTGCCCAGGAGGAACCAACTCAAAGGCAGACACCTGAGCAGCAGCAAGAGGAAGCAAGCATGGCTCCACCGGAGCCAGGCACTGGTGAGTGAGAACCGCTGCCCAGCAACACTGGCGTTCTCAGCATAAGAGACAAGCCAGATGTTGAACTCTTGGGAGCTGGACCTTGAAGAGGTAGGGTTAGTCTTTTCAGTGCTCAGATGTCTGAATAGCACTGTGGGGGCCTGGATACACCCGTCTGCCTGGAGTAAGGGGACGAGTGTGGATGGGTCCGCTGCAGCTTTCTACAGTGGCCAGGTAACGGGTGGCCTCTGTCTCACCTCCCAGGAGGGCACTAGGTTGGCATGCTGCAGTTTCTCAGTATTCTTTCTGAAAACTTGTTGAGAACTCTGACTTTTCTCTTTCATCCAGGATCTGTGTCTGCTTCTGTTTACAGGTGGTCCTTTTCTAGACTGACTCAGAGGACGTGAGCGCCATGCAAAGAGCTGGGCTTACTGCGTCCCCTTAGTCTTCTCCTGCTGATGGCCTCACTCCTAATCCTTTTGGCCTTCCTTCCAGTGATTTTTCTGCATCTCCCCACAGCACATGACCTCTTCCTTCTCTGGAGTTCCACCCGGCCCGTATACGCTCAAGCTGTATGCATGGAGTGTGTGACATGGGACTTGAGTTAGGAGGGTAATGTCCCCACCCATTGCAAACCTGGGATTCAGTTCTGGGACCTTGCCAACCCTTCTATTATTCTGAGACTGATGAAGGTGGCAGATGTGGAGGGCAGGTTATGAGCCTGGGCGTTCACGGGATGGACGATGTGCGCTTCATAGCTCTGTTGTCATCTCAAGCCCTCCAGATGAAGCCTGAGGAGTTCTTCTTCCTGCCAGACCCTTAAGCATGTCCAGGGCCTGCTGAGGAAATGGCCATGTCTCCTGTGATACTTGTGTCAAGAATGACCCTCATCGGATTTTTCCCTCTCACAGGCATTCCAGCAAGCACCAGCACTTTATCAATTAAACAGGAGGAAGTCTCTGCAGAGGGAGGAGAGTTGCTACCCTCCCTTCCCACAGATAGCCTGCCTTCTGTGGGGCCAGGTGAGTGAAAGAGAAGACACTTGTGACTGTGGCAGAGCCTCATAGAAGCTCAGAGGGCCATTTGGTAGTAACAGCCTGTGGTCAACTGGCCTTAATGCAAGTCACTGCTTGACAACATGCTGCAGATAGACAGCTTCTATCTGCTGGTGACAGAAAGGCTGTTTATGGTCCGCTCCACTCCCACAGTAACCCTGTGAGGTGACCTGTGAGGTAGATTCACAGCCTGCGGTGTCTTGCACTGTGTGTGTTGATCTAGAGTTTCAGTGTAGGTCCTTCACCTGGATTCCATATTTTTTTGATAGAGCTCAATGCCAAGACAGTTTATTTTCTGTCCCTGGGGACCACTCTCCTCGCCTCAGCCTATGCTTTTCATAGCTCTGTTCCTTGTCACCATATCTCAGATACACTCTTGCATCAGGTGAGACCTTCCCTGAGACCGCACAGGAATCACAGGCTGATAGGGCAGCACACACCTTAGTGAATTTGTTTGGGATGGGTGACATACAGGCAAGTCACTCCCCTCTCATCTAGGCCACACCCCCTTTTTGAGATGGGATATACGTATTGAGATGGGGTGTATTTAAAGTTGGCTGGCTTTAAAATCACTGTGTAACTAAGGCTTGTCTTATATTTGTGGCAATTCTCCCATTTCACTTCCCGAGTGCTAGGATCACAGCTACATGTGACCCACAAGGCCTCTTAGATTGTGAGTATTCTCATCATAACATTTAGGGTCTTGGTAGAACCATTGACATGGCTGGAGTGTCTTCCCCCACAGTCTCAGCCATCTGTCTCAGAATCAAATCATGGACTCTGCAGGGTCCCCAGTTCTTGGCTTCTGCAGCTTTCTTCTTCCTCTGAAGTTCTTAGCTCAGCTTCCAGGAATAAGGCATAAGACAGCAAACAGTTGAAGAATACATGAGACACTGCCTGTCCTGTAGTGTCTGTGAGTAGGACCCCTGGCCTGCTCTGACGGCACTCACAGAAACTGGGGAAGGGAGGAAAGGCTTGAACCTGGGACAAGAGCTGGATCGAATGGCAAGGGAAGCCATGTGGTCATCTTGGAACCAGTAATGATTCCTTTGTCAGGTGGCGGTACTGTGACCATCAAGACAGAAGCCCTGTCTGAGGAGGAACCTGAGCAGCCGCTTCTGGAGTCCTTGAACCAGCCCATATTTAGAGTCCACAAAAGGCCCAGGATTAAGACTAGAGGCCACAGATGGCATCACGTCCAGGGAGTGTCAAGGGTGCAGATTGGGGAACCCCAGGCAGCAGAGGCTATGGGAGAGCCACCCTATATCCTTCCTCGACCACGGAAGCAGGCATTCCTGTGCCCTGACTGTGGGCAGAGCTTCCGCTTGAAGATTAATCTGATAATCCATCAACGGACTCATGCAGAAAAGGAACACAGGGAGGCTTGGAGTAGCTTGCCTGTTAGGTCAGGGAAAAGCTGCTCCACACTGGAACCAGGGGAAGTGGTGGTGCCGGGCCCTGTCATCCGTTGGCTTCCTGAGGAGCCCACAAGCCACCGGTCCCCAATAAGTCATGCCTTCATGGGACAAAGGCCAGCAACTAAGGTTTACCACTGTAGTAAATGCCTGCACTCCTTTCAGCAACGGAAGAGCCTGGTACTGCACCAGTGTCAGCACATAGGCAAGAGGCAGGGCTGGCCTGCCTGTCCCTACTGTGGCAAGGCCTTCCGCTGGCCCTCACACCTCTCTCGTCACCAGCGCATCCATACTGGTGAGCGCCCCTATCAGTGTCCCCAGTGTGGCAAGGCCTTTAACAGGAACTACCACCTGACTGTCCACATGCAGACGCACTCCTGAGGCCAAGCAAGCCTCATTTCTTCTTGCTTTCTGTCCTCCCAGGAATGCTGACCAAGAGCCTGCCATGATACTCTCTGGCTTTCCTGGCAGGACCTTTCTCCTCAGGGCCTTTCTCTGTGCCTGACCTGAAATTGGTCCCTCAATCTGGGATGGCTTTGGAGAGTCTGTTTTTATTTTCCTTTCAAATTGGAAGCAGCTCTTTTGGTGACAGTGTTTGTATGACAGGAAGCCTCTGTCTCCTAATTCCTCCCTTTGGACATTCCTGACTTGTAAAAGATTCTTAAGATTTAAGGTCAGGCCTCTTTCGCTGGTAATGCAGGCAGTAGGAACAGAAACTGTCTCTTCCAGGTGAGACAAGAGACCTGGGGGAAGAGGTTTGAATGGAGAAATGTCTGCAGTCCACCTGAGAAAAGAAAGCAGGATTGACAGATGGCTAAGGGGAGCCCAGGACATTTGCATTGGTTTGTTTTTTTACTTAACTTTGTTACTTTGAGATTTTTCTTGGAGACCAGAAGCTGCTTCTGTGCAGGAACTTTCTGCTACCTCCTCCATGTGGGGTTGACAGGGTGGGAGGACCGGCTTAGTGTAGACTTGCTTCAGTGGGGATGTCTGGAAAGCAAAGTGCCAGGGGTTTTGAATGCCTAGGATGGCTCCCTGTGAGTCCATGTGAGTCTCTCCCTCACATGGAAGGCACATCCATCACTGCTACTTGTGAGGGAAAGGGAAGCTGGGAATGGATTACTCCTCGCAGATCTCAGTGTTGACAGTGAAGTTGTGTAGCTGGACTTTGGCTACTTTGTGGGTTCTTCTTTCTTCTATCCTTCACCCGTTTTCTTCCCTTCCAAATAACAATAGCTAGGAGAAAGAAAAGGATAGAGGGAAAAGTGGGTGACATTATCATTAGACTACTTCTTGCTGATAAGTGGTGTTGAGTTTCTTGGGAACAAGTTTGATCTTTGATGTCAGGGTATCTAATTTGTTCCTTGTGCACAACTACATAACAAACCACAACCAACAGCAGCCAAACAACCGCCCTCCGTCAGCAACAACCCACCATCAGCAACAGCCAACTCTTGGGGCTCTAGCATTTACCCTCTTGAACAGTCCCCAGAATTCCAAACAGTGCACACTTGCAAAAACTATCTGCAGCTTGCAAAATCACACCCCTGCTAAAGCACAAAACAAATCATAGCTCCTTCGGACAGTCTGAAGCAGTCTATTTCCCACACCTGGGTTTAAGACAAAAACATTCCTATAAGATTTCTGTGTTTTTCAAAGAAACCAAAACTCCACTGTTGTCACTATGTGATTGATCCATTGTGACAGGCCTTCAAAAATGCCTGAAAGAGAATGTTAGAGCAAGCCCAGGAAGCACCTGTCCTTTGGCCCTCTCAGAGCTCATGTTCCTTGTGTGACAAGGAGAACAGCTCCAGGATGTCACCTTTGAGTTGTGTCAAAAGAGGCACTGGACAAATATGGATGGTTTTGGTCTTCCTATTAAGTCTGGGACACTTTTCTTGATCCTGTGTCCTTCAGACAGGAGGGACCTTTCTTTCCTGCCAAGTAGTAGAAGTTCCTTCACTTTCCAGCTGAGCTGGTACTTTAGGGGCCCTTCAAAAGCACAAGCTCCAGACCAGGAATTAGAGGTGATAGTGTCATGCTTCAAAGTCATGAGAGCGGGTGCTTCATGTGCCTCTTTGTCACAGCACCTTGGGTGCTGCCTAGACAGCCTGATGGGTACTTCTGGAGGTGGGGTGATGGATTCCAATTCTGATAGTTTGCTCTCTTGTTTGGCACTCAGACACCAGAGCACATCAGATATGCTCCCAGGTGCCTTCATCCCTGGCTATGCTATTTCCTAATGCCCTTCAGACTATAGCCATTCAAAAGTCCTGCACAAACGAGGCCGAGGGTAACACTGTCGTCATTCCCGGGTAGGGCTAAGTAAGCAAGTGTGTGGCATGCAGCCATGGTTCTGGACTCTACTTGCCTTCTCACCCAACCATTGTTTATGCCTTAACAAGCAAGACAGCCATTGTCATTAAGTGCTCAGACAGGATGTGGACAGTATAGTTTCCCAAGCTTAATCCTCACCTGCAAGTCCGCATGCCGCTGTCCTGGAGATTCCTGGTCTCTCTTCTAATGCTTTAGATGTTCTCTGGAAACAAGTATTCTATATTTGAAGCACAAATTCAAGTGCTAGGGGCGAGGAAAGAGGTGCTGTGTAATCCTGGCTGGCCTTGGGCTTCCAGTGATTTTTTTTTTTCCTACCTCTACCTCCAGACTGGGTTCTAGGATTTACTTGCCTTTGCCATTATGCCCAAGTGGGCTTACTGCATTTATCCTGGAGTTCAATACGACAGGTTAAAGAGTGTTTGGAGTTGAATGAACAAAGCCTGCTTGGTTGCAGGAGCAGATTCTTCTGACCCATTTTGTAAAACAAAGATGTGGTTGGGCCACGAGGCCCTAAGAACTACGGAGATGGAAATCTTAGCCTAATCGGTGCTCTATAAACACACTGGAATAAGCAACTGCGTGTTTGTGGCCTAGTTTGTTCTGGGGAGTCTCAGCAGGTGACCCTAGTGGTTGGCTTGGCTCAACAGTTCATAGGTGAAAGAAGCTGAACACCTGGCTCTCAAACCACACCTGCGGGGGACAACACGCTATAGCGAACGCTGTGCGGCTTGTGCTCCCAGCTAGCCAATAGAATCTGGCTTCTCTACCGCCAGGGGCGGAACCTCCAGGGCTAGCCAATGGGGAGCCGTCTTGTGAAGGGTGGGGCCTGCGTTTCTGCCGCGGTCTCAAAGCTGCCGACTGCATCCAGGCCGACCATTCTGATTCCGTGCGGTGGGGCCAGGAAGGGCCGTCTGTTGTAGGGAACACAGCGGCTACAACGAGACGAGGCAGAATCGCGCGCAGCCATGACCGAGGCGGCCGCTGCACCGGTAAGGGTGGCCCTCACGGATCATGTGTGGGATGTGAAGCGGCTCCTGAATTCGCTGGGAGGACATCTTACCACCTAAAATTGGGTAGATCTCAGCCAGGGAGTCGAGGAGGACTAGGAGGCCTGCTGCCATATGATAAAGTCCTTGTCTCTTTTGCCACGGTTTTATCATTCGTAATATATGGCCATTGAGCTTAACCAGGAAACCTGGTCCCGGTGCACCGGCTGTGGACATTTTTACCCCACATGACTCCTTTTTTCCAGGACCTCTCTGCTCCACCTCTCAAGTATTGGCCATCTCCAATCCAATTCCGAGCTAAGGCCCCTCCAGTTAGCTCTCTCGGTCCTGGGACTTAGAATCGTGTTCCTGCCTAGGAAGGTTCCACGGCCTTTCAGGCCTGAATTCGATTCCATTCAGGCTGGATCCATACATCTTCGCCTGCTGCTTTCTGATAACCACCAGGAAGACTTTCCTACTGCAGCTGGTTAGGGAATCAGTGTCTATAGGGTAGGCGTGTTTTAGGCTCAGGCTTGACTTAGTATTGCCTTCAACCCCTGTGAGTGAACTACTGAGATATACTGTCCCTGAAGGTAAGAGGCATCTCCTGCTAGCAATAGCTTTGCAGTGACTTCAGAGACATTTCTTGGTGTTAGGTTTGTGGCAAGGGATCACAGAGATATTTGACCCTTATGTGTGAAGACTGTCTCCTCCCAACCACATTTTGTTGTATGGGTCAGTGATCACAGACCCCAGGATGGCACCATGCTGCTGAATTAGGAGTGAGGAAGATAGGTGTCTGGTGACAAGTATCTTACTGTGTGGGACACTTTGCAGTGTTTTTTTATGGAAGATGACTTGGGGGAAGTTTAATGTCACAAAATTGTATTAATTGCAGTTTATAACATATAACACATTCTGGCCAATGGTCAGGAGCCTTCATGTTTATTGGTAATACAGTATATAATAATGTCATACACCCTGAGTACATTTTCATACCTGTAGCTTCACCACCTTAGAGATAGAGGAAAGTTCCAGGATTTATCTGCTGTCCCCACGGCTCATTTTATTTATAATTATGCATGGTGACATTGTCCCTCTTCTTTTGACTAAGATACTGGCTTTCAGCTTTCTCTGGCTCTGCTAAGATCTAGCTTCTAGTAAAGTGACTGTTCAGGGCAGTGTAGTGACTGTTCAGGGGCTGTTTGTTGAGGTGTCCCAGTCACAGAGACCTAGTGTCCAACTTGAAATGAGCTGAAGTTACCTGAGAGGAAGAAACCTCCACTGAGAAAATGCTTTCATAAAATCTAGCTGTATGGCAAGCCTGTAGGGCATTCTCTTAATTAGTATTTGATGTGAGAGAGCCCAGTTCATTATGGGTGGCCCACACCTGGGCTGGTGGTCCTGGGGTTCTGTAAGAAAGCAGACTGAGACAGCCATGAGGAACAAGCCAGTAAGCAGCACTTCTCCATGGCCTCTGCATCAGCTCCTGCTTCCAGGTTTCTGGCCTGCTAAGTTCCTGCTCTGACTTCCTTCATTGATACATAGTGACGTGTGACATGTAAGCAGAATAGATCCTTTCCTCCCCAAGTGGTTTTTGGTCATAGTGATTCATCAAAGCAATAGAAACTCTAAGGTACCACCTAGTAGCAGATTAGGAATTCACACAGTGTTAGTTGAGTCACCAGCCCCTTAGCGATCACCAAAGAAGGAACAGCAAGGTCTCACTTTTGTGGAAGCTGCTCCATGAGGTGGTAGCCTTTAATCCCAGCACTCAGAGGCTGGTGGATCTCTGAGTTTGATGCCACCCCAGACTACAGTACAGTGTTCCAGGGCTACACACAAAGACCCTGGTGGGGAATGGGGTGGGATGAGAGTTGAGTTTGCCATTGGGTAGGCAGATTTATGGCCTTGCTGTCTTGCTATGTCCCCAGTGGAAGAAAATGTGGTCAAATAACTGATGGAGCTAATATAAATAGTAGGGCAAGATTAAGTCCAGCACACTTTGGACACTATTTTTATTTTCCGTTGCAATGGATCTAGGTTCAATATTATTTCCATGAAGGTTCTGAGGGATCTTTGTACCTGTGTTTTTGGTCTTTTGTGCCT